AGTAGTTCTTCCAGGAAAACTGCTGTTCTATAGACTGTTGTATTTTAAGCCCACAGTGCCTCTGCTCCCACTCACATCCAGCCACACTGAGGGTCTAAAATGGCCCAAAATGACTCAGAAAAATCAGCATGAAAGAACCACTTCAGAGGAGCGAATGTAAGTTTTGCCATTATCCAGTAAATTTGCAGATAAAACATTTTACACTCAGCTTACATGAACCTATTCAATTTCCCGTGACCTGCTCCACTGCAAAAGTGCTTTTAAAGAGCAGGAATTGCTCATCACGTTTGCTGCTGCTCCTTAAGGTTTCTTTTTTTCTGATTAAAGTACTTGTCAAACAAGATATTCACAGCATCTTCAACTTTACGGGCTGACGGCCGGCGAGATCCCAGATGTGAACATGTATAAGAGCTTGGGGGGCAAAGCCAAACGGGAGCACACTGTAGATGCTCAGTAATTGTTCCCCAGGAAAGTTGGTCTGTGTGAAAGCGAGCAAACAAAAACTCCAGCGAATCCTGTTCCCATTGACAGAATGTGCAGCTTCACCCGCAAGAAACAGGTGGGAGGTGTGAGGCACCAGCATGTCTGTAGATATTTGTACCAGCTAACACACACACACACTCAAGGGCACAGCCACACACCTGCTCTTCTCAACAATGGCATTAAAACTATCAGCTGATGACATGATTTCAGAGATGAATTACGGCAGAAGCAGACGGGAGGAACCGATCGATACGATGGTATCTGTTTCCAGACGGAAGCAGGTCAGGTGGAGAAAATAGGAAAGAGAAGATGGAGACGACCACGTCTGGCCCGTGGATTATGTTTCAAAGATGACAGCGAACGGGTCTTGGGGGGTCTGACACCGTGTAGTTCCCAGAGCACTTCCTCCTTTTTGCTTTCTCTGTATCGAATGGAAAGGCTCAAGTGAAGTCGTACAAATCAGAAAAGCACCTCATTGCCATGGCAACAGGTGCTTTTGGACTGGCTAAACATTCAAGGCAACAAATAAATAAATAAAAGCAATAAAATCCCAGGAAACGGAAGGTGGAGGTAAATAATGCCTAAGTTTTCAGAGTGCTGCGTATCTTAGAGGAAGCACAGCAGCACTGCAGAGGGCAGAAACACAAAAAAGCTCCAGCAAATGAAAAGAGGGCAAAAGACACGAGTGTCACCGAGCAGATGGTTTATAAAGAGAAAAAAAACAAACAAAAGAAAGTTAGTGGTGATTTTGTTTCGTTTTAAACTTCCAAAAAAAGAAAGAAAATAAATAAATAAACTGAGATCAAGTCGATGCAAATAATTAAACACAGCGACTCAATGATTTCAAGATGTGACTCATTAATAAATGCATCTCTATCCTTTAAATATATATTATAAATCTAGACATACTAACCGTAACTGGATATTCAGCAGTGACTGTGGAAACATGATGGGGCGAAAGCATCGTTCATTCAAGGCAAAGGTCACCAGCATGTCACGGTCCCGGGTCATGTGACCCAGCGCTTTGAGTTTAATATATTTTGATGTTGATGGTTTAAGTTTAAGTTAATTAGTTTATCTGCACTCATTTGTATTATGTTTAGGTTGCTGTCATAGTTCATGTTTCTTAGACCCCTTTTTGTTGTCACCCCTGTGTTTACGTTTCCTAAGTTTATTCTAATCAGCTGTTTCTCCGTGTGTTTCCTGCTCACCTCCTGCGTGTTTTCACTCATTCCTCGTCGTCTGTTATTCTGCTATGTTCATGGCATGTTTTCCAGGATTTTCATGTACTTTTGCCAAGTCTTCACAGTTCAGGTTTTTCATGTTCACGCTCAGGGGTTTTTTTTATGTTTAGCATTAGTTCACCCAGTTTAGGCTAGTTCTTAGTTTTGCCTTTGCCCCTTGTTTTGTACAGTTGAAACCAGCCTTTAATAAATGGCTCACTTTCAGTTAATATTACGTTTGTTTCCACGCTTTGTTTTGGGTCCTTTATTCTCCACACAGTCGCTGTCACACAGCAGGAATCAAACCAGGGGGCAGTGAGATGCCCAGTGCTGGGAATACATGAACAGGACAGTTAATATTTTTATATTATTATTACTACTACTAGTAATAATAATAATCAGAAATGAACCAGAAATGCGGGTAAAGTCCAAGACTACCTCCTCCTCCTCCTCCTCCAAAAAAAAAGAGCCCCTAGACATGGATCAGAATTGGTCTGCAATTATTTACTTGAGAAGATCGAGACCCATTTTTTTTAACCCCCCTTTTCATTCGATATGTACTTGAAGATGTAGACTTAATTTGAAACTTGTCTCAGCTTAGAAAAAAAACTCATCCAAATCCATCCACACAAACCATTTGGAGTCAAAGAAATGAACCAATCACACGCAGCCACTTTGGCTGAAGCACGAATGGTCACTAAAACACCTTTTATTCAGTCCCCAATGAGAAGGAAGCTGCAATTATATCAGCTTCAACCAGCTGTTTTTGGAAAACTGAACACTGTATGTGCTCAGTCTCATAAGTAAAGCAGAGTTTGATATGATGACATATGTGCTTTACATTTGTGGTTGTCATATCAGTTTATTTGTGCCTCCTGTTCAGTAGCTTTAATGCCTTGTTAAATCTTTTTAAAGAAATTTTCCAACCACCTGCAATGAAGTCGCCTTATTCAAGCACTTTGATGAATTTAGACGAGTTAAATTAAGAACCTTCATATTTATGTACGAAGCGAACATTTTAATAGCAAAACATTCATTAGTGCGAGTTGCAGAGACTCGACTGAATATTCCATGCACAAATTCAAACTTTAATATTTCGCCGCTGTGCATCAATTACTGTCAAGTCCTTCAAATATTACTGACGCCCTCTGTCATCAAACAGGGAGAGAAAACAGCCTAATGAAACATTCTTTATTTGATACCCACACAGAAAACGAGTCAATTTAGTGAAATTAAATGAGATAAGTAAACTTTTCCAGGCTGGCAGCTCAGAAGTAGACCTGCAACGCCGCGGCCCACAGTGAGAGCAGGTCTGTCTGCTTCCCCGGACCCTTTAAAGTACGAGCACTCAGCCTGAGGATGCTCGTATATCGTTAGCGCCCGAGCGTGACCAGTAGGAGATTCGCTACTTGGCAACCATCCCAGGAGTCATTAAGCTCGGCCTCTAACTGTCATTGTCCCCCTGCCTGTGGCTCCTCTGGGGTCCACGAGCCAAATTTGTGCCACCTCAAAGTTCAGAGCCATTCCAAAGGTCCAACAGCGATATGACATTACCTTTTAATGGAGCAGATTATTAGCAGAATAGAGATAAACCTGCTGGGTTTGTACGGCCGCTCTCATGGATACCTACGTGAAATAGACTGTGAGGCTTCAGGCGTTACCTGGGTCACCTTCTGTGAGAAGACTTTGCTCACTTTAGGTCAAACTGTAGCTTTAAAGCTACATCATCAAATACCATCTTAAAAGATTAAACTGCAGTCAAGATTCTCTAAAATTCGGTTCTTTTGTTGGTTTTGGTCTTTGCTCTTTTTGGTGAATATGGTTTTCTTTTTACTCCTAAAATGTTATTTTCCAGTCGAGCTCACTGAGCTCCTGCACCAGAGTTTGCAGAGAAAGAGTTAGTTTCAAAGTCGATGCCAACACAGCAACTACAGCCGGTGTTGATCTAAATAATCCTGATTATGATATGTATGTGGAAAAAGAAGCACACTGTAGACGTGATGTGGTGGGAATTACTGGAATAACCACACTGGCACTTTTGTTGGTGGATATGCAATTACTTTAACTCATTTTCCCAGGCATGTTTAACCAAAGTGTTTGCTTCTATTCAAGGAAATCAACACTTAAAATAATAAGAATTATTATAACCAAGAAACTGGAGTTAAAGTGATGGCATTGAGCAAGGATGAAAGGGCTGATTTCATGGTTATGTAATACGTTTGGCACATGCATTAGTAAATAAATGGTTTCAGCCTTGTGCAGAATATTTGCTTTGAAGAGCAATAACAGAACCAGCCGCCATTTCTGAATTTGTTTGAGTGACAACAGCGATCTGTGCTACAGCACAGGATGTTTCAAACATGTCCACCTCATGGATTACTCACTACTTGACAAACAGGCCACAGCGCTTGAGACTGAGCAGTGGTCCGACTGACTTGGTGATGTGCAGTACCGGAGCCCCTCGGGGGACTGCGCTGTCTCTACTCTCTACTTTGAGCACAACTTCAGGTCAAACCACCTAGAGTGGTCGGACGTATTAGTGATGTGCAGGAGGAGGAGGTTGATTTGACTGACTGATCTGCTTCCAGACACCAGAGAGATGGATGTTGACCTCAGAAGGAAGAGGATGGCTACATGTCTTGTGTCTACTGTGACAGGATGCTGATGGAGTACACAAACAACATCGACATTGACAACAGGCTGAACTGAAAGACCAACACAGAGGTGTTGTATGTCTCTGTGCAGTGCAGCAAGATGTTGGAGGTTTGCTGGGGGAGCATCATCAGCTGGTGACACCAACAGACTGAATAAAGTAATTGGGAACACTGGCACATGTCTGAAGCTTCATGGATAATCCTCACTGCCTTCTGCAACACTTACTGGACAGTCAGCAGAGCATCTTGTCTAACAGACTGATTCAGCTCCACTACCACACGGACAGACACAGAAATAATACTCGAGCTCCATTATTATGTAACTTTTTGAAGAGAAACAGCTAACAAAGAGAAAACGAGCCAACGACTGCTACCCAATATTTGACACTTAGAATTACAAACGTCTCATCTCAGCCTTCAGCTTCATTCATTCTAAGCCTTTATTCTGAGTCATAGTGTGTGTTTAATCAGCTTGCCTCTCATTGAAGCTCTTGACAGTTAATCCATCATGTTAATAAACTATTTCTTTAGTCTTTTTTAGTTTAGCATGAGAATTACTGCAGTTTTACCGCGTCCCAAAATGTTCTCACTGGATGATAAACTTTACATTTCTATTTTATCGTGATGGGTGTTCACTTACCCCGAAGTTGGAGGCTGCGAATCTGGCTGGAGCAGAGACGTTGGTGGAGGCGGTGGGGTGGGCGTAGAAGGCATTGATGTTGGCCAGCAGGGTGCTCATCACTGCCGGCACCCCTGACAGCATGTACTTAGAGGACAGGCAAGAGAATTGGCTGAGGAGGAGAAGAAATGTGGGGAAACGGGCAGGGGAGAGAGAGAAAGGAAGATTGGGGATATAAATGCAGTTAGCAGGTTAAAAAAAGGCAGAAGTGGTTATGGAGAGGCGGGAAGGAAGGTGGGTAAGCAATTAGGATAAGACAGGTGAGGACAGAGGGAAAGAAGGTCGAGAATGAGACATAAAGAGGCCAGAGGGGGAATCGGTGGAAGGAGGAGGAGGATAGAAATTACGGAGAAAAGGGAGAGAGTAATTGAAGTGGATGCAGGAAGGCAGGGAGGAAATAGCGAAACATAATGAGAAGGTGAAAAACAAAAGACACAAAGAGAGACGGACGGGAAATGATCAAAAAATTCAGTCAATGAAGATGAAGAAAGAAGGAAACTTCTTGTGTGGACCCGAAATTAATATTGCCAATGATGATTTAACATCATACAAACAGTATTTCCCTTTGAAGATCCAAAAATAAGCTAAAGGAAACTGGATATGGACGGACCAAATGGATTTGAGTTGGGTGCAAACATACCCAACCATTTTTCTGTCCCCATAGCTACATTTGAATCCGTTTTGGTCCACTTGGTCTAAATATCTTAGCAACAATGTAGCAAACACAGAATGACACAAAACAGGAAAGCTGATGCTGAAGGCAGGAGAGGCTGGAGAATGGGAACTCCTTTATTCGCTCTAAAGACTGGCCCCTGTATCCACGCGTCACAAGATGATCTCATATCCTTTGTGTTGTCATTTTGAATCCACACACCAGCAAAAGATGTGGAGTCATGCGAGGGGGTGGAGAGGTTTCAGAAAGCCACTGAACTGAAAAGATGCATGCAGCTACAGCAAAAACTGTCTTTGAGCCAAATCTCAAAGTGATGAAAGCAGGTTTCACTGTCGCAGAGGAAATCGCTCATTCAGAGGAAGATGCTGCAAAAAGAATATGAGTATTTGCGAGTGGAGGCTTTTTCTGAGAAGCTGAGGCTGTAAAGAGCATAGAAACTACATGATAAAAACAAACTTTCTCACACAGAAAGCAGACACTACACTGAGTTGTCATATTGAGGGGAAAATAATATATTACATTTAATTAAATAGCCAGTTGTAAGGTAACTGTGCGGCAACCTTCACGTAAAACGTAATCAGAATGCATTTTTTCAGTTGACTAACTTTTTTATGTGTTAAGTGGAGCATAATGTATGTGAACAAGCTTTTAGGGAAATTGACATTTAATTTCTTTTTCCTGAAATAAAGCATCTGAGAAGCTACAAGTGTCTGGCCCCTGATGTCATCGATGTTTCCCGGTGTGGAAGTTTGAAGCGGAGCCCTTAGAAGCTCACTTTTGCATCCCTGCTTTCCAGGATGCCAAATTGCTTCTAAACTTATCCACAAAATTATAAATTGTTTGGTACAAACAAATACTACGGAGCCCCGCAGGGGACATGGGAGAAAAAAAATTTAGATTTTGCGAGATCTCGCAAAACAAACTCGGGATCTCGCAAAACAAACTCGGGATCTCGCAAAACTTTTGCGAGATCTCGCAAACGTTTTAGCCGCATTCTTCGGACGCTGGCTCGAAGCCGACCGGGCGGTCGAGGCACGATGTGCCGGGAAAGCGGTGTTCCTCCCGGCTGTAGTAGGTCTCGACCTCCCATTAGCTCGAAGCTAACGGGAGGTCTCGACCTCCCGTTAGCTTCGAGCTAACTTTTGCGAGATCTCGAGTTTGTTTTGCGAGATCCCGAGTTAGTTTTGCGAGATCTCGCAAAAGTCCGTCTTAATTTTTTTTTCTCCCATGTCCCCTGCGGGGCTCCGTAAAATACACACGTATCATTTAGAGTGTGAAATACTAGTCAGGGTCCTAAAAACAGGTGAATAAATTAATTTCCTCAACGGTGAAGGAGCTGTTCGGTTCACCGAGTTCTTAGTGAGACTTCTATAATGGCCACAGTGTTCTTGTATATTCCAATCACCACTTTCATTTGGCTGTGTCATTGAACGGCTCATATCCACATTTCCGCTGGGACAGAGTCTGGCCCATTTCTGCTTACAGCTTCACTTCACTCAATATTTCCCCACATGATTGCGTTGTGTGATTGCGCTCTTTTTCCCAGCACACAAAACCAACACACGTCCCTTTAAGCCCAAATTCGGACATTATTAATGCAATTAAACCAGGATGTGTGTATGAATGCTTGCTGAGTGCTTCTGTGCCCCTGCCTGCAATGATCCAACCAAACAGCAGGGAACTCTCTGAGGTCAGGGGTCATCTTTTCTCATTAGGTGAGATAAACTAATTTGCATGTTGTTTATAGTTCATGACATTAATGCCTCCCATCACATTAACATGCAGGAAACACACAGGTCCATAAATAATACCAGCGAGCACACTAATACAAAGCCCCTCCTGATAAATCTACCTCACATCACAGTCTGCTGGATGGACTGTAGTCAAGTGTTCGGTAAGTGTGCAAACAGAGCTTACGTCATGGCCTGGAAGATGGACTCAACACCGTAACGCATCGCGAACTCATCCACAACTTCCTGTTGCACTTCATCGAAGTAAACCTTCCACGCGTCGTCTCCCTGAGCAGCTGGGATCTTCACCGCGCCGCCTCCTTCGACATCCGTCGTAAAGTGAAACATATTCTAGAGAGAGGATTTAAAATTTAAAAATGTAACTAATTATTAACCACATGAAATAACTTTGTTTACTTTATTGAGGAATCTGTTTTGTGTTAGCAAACAGACTCAGACGTGTGTCTACTGATCCTCAAAAAGTATTTATGAATATTTCCATTTCAAACAGAAAGAGAAAGAGGTGTGAAAAATGTTCCAAGACTTTTCGCATAACCAAAAACAATCAAAAGTCCTTCAGTGCCCTCCTCTCCCCTGAAATCTGAAGGTGATCAGTCTTTCTCGGTTGCTGCCCCCAAGCTGATTTGTTTTTATTGATGTTTCCGTATTTTCAGTAAGAATGGAGTAAAAATGGCATCAGTGGTTTATCAGTGATTGCACAGATATTTTTCTATTTCAGCAACCAGTTGCAAAAAGCTGCAGTGACCAACTGATTGGCAGAGGTTGAGTGTGCAGCTCCCTCAGCCTCTGGGTGACTGGTGGGAGGCAACCTGCTTCCAAACAATCCAATCTGCCATCTGATCAATAAATGCAGACAGACTGACTGCGATGAGTCTCTTTACAATAGCAGACGTGACTCAGCTGGTTATATTCTGGTTGCATTCATATAAAAACAAGGTCACCGAGCGCCCGTGCCATTGCGCAGTTACACTGCGTCTCTATTTGTGGAGGAACTTCAGTTTCAAAGCTGTGAGGTTCTGGCTGGACTCTAAATGTAAGTAGCTAATTTGAATTTCTGTTTAATTCAAATTAGCTACTATTAATTCATTTCTCTGTGTACACAGCACTGATTTATCACGGCTGACTGCAGCATTGTCACACACAGACTGCATGTAATTGTCAACCTGACCTCGTTCAATTGTAAACAGACTTATCGCACACGACCACAATCGTTTTGCTCGTGCCGCGGTCTCTAATCGCTGTTCTCTCCAGTGTGACTGCAGCATCCTGTTTATTCATGCACCTCTTTTATTATTTCATCTGAGTGTTTTTATATTATTTTACCTACTGAATAAATTTTTATGTGGTAAATTGTGGAAGCTGTTTTAACCATTTCTTTTTTGATA